AAATTTTGTCAATTTTTTGGGAGAAACCGGGGGGGGGGGGGGGGTTCCGAATTTTTCCAGTTTTTTTCCGGGCCTTCACATCTCTAGAACCTACCCTACTCTAGTGGCCGTGGCAGGTATCTCAATCCCAGCACCATCTCCTGTAACAGGCAGTGAGCCCTCCAAGGTCTCCGGACTTTCACAACCATGCTGCCAGTGATTAATACTTGAGCTTGTGAGTTTCTGTGGTAGGTTCACTCTTTCATGGATCGCTGCCTTGACGTGGCGAGGGGGCTTCCGTGGTTCGATGTGGCTGTGGGCTATGCCGTGGAGGGCCACCCAAGACGGACAGGCCACAGCAGAGAACTCAGACAAAACGTGATCCACTGGAGAAGGAAATGGCAACCCACTCCAATATCTTTGCCAAGAAAACCCCATGGACAGTATCAAAAGGCTAAAAGATATGACGCCGGAAGATGAGCCCCTCAGGTCGGAAGGTGTCCAATATGCTACTGGGGAAGAGCAGAGGGCAAGTACAAGTAACCCCAGAAAGAGTGAAGCGGCTGGGCCAAAGCCAAAAGGACACTCAGCTGTGGATGTGTCTGATGGTGAAAGGAAACTCCGATGCTGCAAAGAACAATACTGCATAGGAACCTGGACAAACATGAAATTAAGCATGGAGACTCCGAAGCATAACGGAAGACAGGAAGGCCTGGCGTGATGTGGTCCATGGGGTCGCGAAGAGTTGGACTCGAGTGTGAGACTAAACAACAACAACATGGTAGGTTCAATATGTTCTCTTTTAGTGAGTTATAACCCTCCCACTGTTGAGTATGATTTTTTTTTTAAATGTGGAAATCTCCTTTCCAGAAATACATGACAAGTCCAGAAACATGAGCTAATTTTGGCAGTTTTCATTCACTGGGATTGAAAATGTTCTGGTTTGAAAATCTATCAGTCCTAATGAGTACACACTATTATTTTTCATTCAGTGATGGAGATCTTCTTCCCCCTTTGAAATTTCATCAGAGCTTATTGACAAAATTATTAGAGAGACCACAGTAAAACAAAAAAAACCCCAGGAGACTGTTCTAGTTAACATCTGATTTATAAAAATTTTATTTTATTAATCATACACAACTGGAGCTTTGCATTGAAAAGACTTAAGTAGACTCCTTTTCTCTTAAATACCAATATGGATAAGACAAAATTGCCTCGGGCACTGTATCAAACTTTGTGGCTTCCCTTATGCGATTCTATTTTAGTGAAATTATCAGTCTTCTATAGGAATACAGAACAACACCCCCATCTTGCGTGTACAAGAATGATTTATCCTCCCCATCGACGGCATCTATACACCCAACACACATTATATTATAGGATTATTAACAATGGCATCACACCACTGGTTTGTTTGTTTTTTAAGTGATTTTATACCATTTTTTTCCTGATAGGTTGAATTAGTGCATTACATCCAAAAATGGAAGGGAAAAAAGAATTAATGCCAAGTCGGCGTCCCAAAGCCCGATGCAAACTGAGGCAGATGCAAGGCTAGTTGGTATATGTAATCGAAGAGAGATACTGATTGGTTACACGTTGAAAAAAAAACTGAATACAAAATACAGAAGAAATCAGCTCCCTCCCCACTCCCCATATGCATAATTGTGATTTGGTCAAAACGAGTCTTTAAAGGCCAGAGGTGTCTTGTGTCTCACTCTCACCGTTCAACGTCATACGTTCTGTTTTAGTGGTTATCAGCCAGTCCCACGCCTTGCTTTCCCAAGGACACGTCTGCATTGTATTTAAACCGGCCTCCCGTCTAAGGCTCTTTGACGGCAAGCCCTGCCGACTCAAGCGGCTTAGAATCGGCGTGCAGACGCGCCTCGAGAGTCACACCTCTTGTCCAAGGGAAAGACTGCCGTTTCCCCACCTCCAAGCAGCTGTGAGCAGATATCAAGACTAAAACCTAGTTCTGGGAAATTAAGAAGGCAGAGAAAAAGGAAAGTGGGACCAGAGCTCTGGAAAGACACACCTGCCCATAAGGAGCAAATCGCTCATCTTTCTTTTTCTTTTAAAAAGGCCACGGACAGTGGAGTGGTTATATGCAAGATTACTCCAGTTTAAGCCCCAGTGAATCAATGGGCTTTGAATAGAGTGATCCTGCACTGGGTTGCGCTGTGTCAGACTTAAAAAAAAGAAGAAAGAAATCATTATTTGTACAGAGGAGGATCGAGCAGGTTTTCTTTGCTTCCTCCATTCGACGGACAGAGAAGAATAAAGAAGAAAATATCACAGCAGCAGAAAAGAAGGGTGGGTCGGGGGAGGGGGAAAAAGAAGGATCCTGGCAGCTGTTCTTCTGTAAGCGCAATCCGGTTCAGGCGCATTCCAGTCAGGGGCGATCCAAGAAGAGCAGGAGGCGATCCCTTAGTTGCTACAACACTGCCCCCTGCTGGGCTGGCTGCTCTCCTGGAGGTCAACACCCCGATTCCTGCCCGCTGTCCCAGCTGCAGTCTGCGGTTCATTTTTGGGGAGCTTCTTGGCTGAGGAAAGAGGGGGGGGGGCGCATCTTTACTAAATGGCTGGGAAAACACACTCCACAGGACAAGGCAGGGGAGTAGCTGCTTTAGAACTGGGGGGCAAGGGGCAAGCTTTTTCTTTGGAACGCTAAACACACCACGGTGTCTCCTCCGTTAGTGACCTGTAGCACCCAGTGAGTTGTCCCAAATCAGTGTATACAATTTGGACTTCCTGCCCCAAGACAACCTCCAGTTTGGTGTCGTGGTTAAGTGCGCGGAGTCTAATCTGGGAGAACCGGGTTTGATTCCCCACTCCTCCACTTGCACCTGGCTGGATGACCTTGGGCAAGCCGTAGTTCTGATAAGAGCTGTCCTTGAAAAAGAGCAGTTTCTGTCAAGAGTTCTCTCAGCCCCACCTACCTCACAGGGTGTCTGTTGTGGGGAGGGGGAGGGAAAGGAGTTTGTAAGCCACTCTGAGACACCTTCGGGTAGTGAAGGGCAGGGTGTAAATCCAATCTCCTCCTCCTCCTTTGGCCTTCCTTCTCCACAGCTCAAAGCACCTGAGCTACTGTGCCCACCACACTTTATCAATCCCAGGTATTTCCCAAAACCCTTCTGCCACGTCCCCTACGCCGGGATCTCTTCCCACTCAGCATCCTGTCCCATTCCCCTCTACCTACTCAGCACTACCGCCCGTGCAGTTCCTCCTGTGTGTTAGACCCTTCCAAAATGCCCCCCCCCATTCCCACTCAAGTGAATTAGCACTGTCAGCATCCTGTAGTTGACCAATTCCTCCACAGCAGTTAAAGCATTTGAGATCATTCCGTGACATCGCAGCATGCCTGTCAGGCACGGGCTCCCCACCTCAACAGGCACGGCCGTTACAAAAGCAGGCCACGGAATAAGGCGAGGCAGAGAACGTTCGGCATGCCGCTTCTCCGGCCTTCTACTAACCTATTGCCATGAAGGTTTCGTTCACATTCATTGCAGTCTTTGCAGAGGTCTCCATGAACAGCAAGCTGTTGTCGTCTGCATACGCCGCGGCTTCCTGCAAGGGACACGTTTGCAAGTTAAATCTCCGCATGCAAGCTTTCTGTGTTCAGCCTGAGGGGTGTTTTCTAGGAACACTGGGGCTCGGGGCCTAGGAACAAGTGCCATGGTGGCGCAACAGCTTCAGTTGCAAAGCTCCCTTGTCCCTTCGGTTGGTGCAAGACCAATGGTCTTCAACACAGCCTGCGTGCAAGCAGAAGTGGGTGGTGAAGAGGAAGAAGAAGAGTTGGATTTGTACCCCGCCCTTCACTCGGAGTCTCAGAGCGGCTTCCAATCTCCTTCCCTTCCTCTCCCCACAACAGACACCCAGAGAGGTAGGTGGGGCTGAGAGAGTTCTGAGAGGACTGCTTTTGAAAGAAGAGCTCTGAGAGAACTTGTGACAGACCCAAGCTCACCCAGCTGGCTGCATATGGAGGAGTGGGGAACCAAACCCGGTTCTCCAGATTAGAGTCCGCCACTCTTAACCACTATACCAAACAGAGGAAGTGTTCTCTGTGGCAGAGGCTGCCTAGTATGTGCAGAACTTTTGTTCAGAGGATCCAAGCCCCAAACTCTGCAAAAAAATTCAACTGACATTTGAACTTGTGTTGATTGAAATGTGTTTCCCCCCAAAAAATGGGCACTGCCTCTCTTTGGATGCGTATTCAAAATGAGCAAAATCAAAAGCAACTGGCTGGGTAGGGGCTTATTGCACATGCTCGCTTACTATGACCTTGGTCACCATCTTTTTTAAAAAGCAGCTTATGTTAGGCTGTATGTTTCCCTTTGGTGCCTGCAAAGAATTCTTCCTTTTCTTCTTCTCTGTTTTTCTGCAGCCTGGAGCCTTTCCTTTTTATAAAGTTCTATTATTTCAGAAAAGGAAAACCGCTGCACTTCATTAGCTCCCACACTAAAAGTGCTTTGCCCAGATCTTCGTCTCCCATCCCCGTGGCTGATGAGTTCTGGCTATGAGTCAAAGCAGACAGAATTAAGCAAAACGCTTCGTATTTCATTTTGTGCTTTTAGAGAGCAGACATACATTTCCTTGCTGGCAGTCCTTGCACCAGCCCTGTAAAGGGGCAAGTACTATTATCTTTATACTGCAGATAAGCAGAGGTCTACGGGTAACACTTTGCCAACACCTAATGTGTTTATGGCAGAGACCCGATTCAAACCGAGCACTTCCCAATTTGTAGCTCTTTGCCACAAAACTGCACAAGAACGGAACATAAGAGCCCTGACCTGGATAGCCCACGCAAGTTTAATCTCATCAGATCTCGGAAGCTAAGCAGGGTCAACTGTGGTTAGTACTTGGATGGGAGACTTTCTTGGAATACCAAGTCAGGAGGCAGGCTTTATTCAGCCACCTTACTGAATATCCTCCAGGCCCCTAGTAGGGGTCAGTGACCAGAGGTTGACATGACTTCCAGGTGCAGACACAAATACAAAAAAATAGAAAACCATGAGAGCATAACAAGAGCCCTGCTGGATCAGACCAGTGGTCCACCTAGGCCAGCGTCCTGTCTCACACAGGGGTAGAGATGTGAAGGCCCGGAAAAAAACCGGAAAAATTTGGGAAAAAACCTTCCCCCCCCCCCGTTTTTTCCCTGAATCCTTTTTGTTTTTTTCCAACAAATTGGAAAAATTGAAAAAAGAAAAGAAAAAAATTGATTATGGAACATTTTATTTTAACATGATGAATAAAATATTTTAAGACAAGGTGTTCAAATATTTTCCAAATCATTTCTAATATATATATATATATATATGGTATCAGATTGATTTAATTTCTGTGCACTGAGGACAAGCAAGACCTAGGTTACAAACTGAACTCTCCAATGCAAGAACAAGATGCATTTCTTCTTTTAGGAGGTGCGATTGTCAGAAGAAAATTAAAAAGTTTCAGTTTTGTTTTTGCATGTGGATGGGTATTCTGTTTGTAATAATTGTTTGGATACACTATATTTTTAATATGCTAGTTGTGATAATTTCATGCCAAGTAAAAATGTCCATAGTCATATTTTATGTTCCTAAAGTAACAGAATTACTTTCAATCTAGAAAAGACCAAAAAAATGCTAATGTAGCATTTTTTTCAATTTTTCCAAAAATTTCCGTTTTTTTCCAGAAAAAAACCGGGTTTTTTTCCGAGCTTCAAAGTTTCTGGAAATTTTACATCTCTACACAGGGGTCAACCAGTTCCCCTGGAGGGCCAACAATAGAGAGGCCAAGGCCTTCTCCTGATGTTGCCTCCTGGCTCTGGGATTCAGAGGCTCAATGCCTCTAAATGTGGAGGTTCCCCTCAGTCACCAGGGCTAGTAGCCGCTGACAGACTGAGCCTCCATGAATCTATCTAGTCCCCTTCTAGAACTGTTTATTCTTGTGGCCATCACAACACTGTCTGGCAGTGAATTCCACATTTCAAACCCTGCATCAAGTAGGATTTCCTTTGTCTGTCCTGAACCTACTGTCCATCAGTTTCAGTGGATGCCCTCGAGTTCTAGTATTTTGGGAGAGAAAAAATTTCTCTGCCAACTCTCTCCACTCAAAACCCCCCAACAAAAACTCTCTCCACCCCATGCATAATAATTTTATAAACTTCTATCCTGTCCCGTCCCCCCAGTAATCTCTTTTCTAAAATGAAAAGTCCCAGCCTCTTTAGCCTTTACTCCTAGGGAAGGTGCTCCAACCCCCTAATCATCTTATTTGCCCTCCTCTGTACTTTTTTCCAGTGTTCTTTCTTTGACACAATCTTGTTAATGTATACTTTTCTGAGGTACCAGCAAGAAGAAATGTCAGAGGCAAGGGATTATGAAGAATTAAAGACAGGACTGCCACTATTATAATGCCTTCACATAGATCTACTGTCCGGCTGTGGTTGGAATTCTTACCCAGTTCTGGGCACCACACCTCAAAAAGAATGCTGTGGTACTGGAAAAGGAGCAGAAACGGGCAGCCGAAAATCAGCACAGGGATGGAATACTCCCTTATAACGAAAGGCTAAGGCAGGGTGTCGAACTCATTTGTTGTGAGGGCCAGATCTGACATAAATGAGACCTTTTGGGGCCGGGCCATGTGTGTCATAAAATGTAATGCCAGGTAGCAGAGATATAAACTTTATAAAGCACACAAACACAAAGGGGATTTTTTAAACTTAAAATAAAAATATGCTTAAAACATCAGCACTCTTGCAATATTTTGTTTATTTAACAGTGTCTGATAACTGACACCTCTTGCTCTCAATTATTGCATCAAAATGTCTGTGCTGTTGCAATCCTGAGTATGCTGTTCAGGGGTGTACCTGTAAGCTACAAACCGACGATGACGCAGCAGCAGCAGAACTGGAAGCAGCAGCAGAAGACAGCCTGTACAACTGCGGGCCTGACAGAAGCCCTCCGGGGGCCTGATCCGGCCCCCAGGCTGCACATTTGACACCCCTGGGCTACGGAGTTTGAGACTGTTTGTTTTAGACAGAAGGTGACTCAGGAAAGTTGGAAAAGGGTTTTTAAAGCTGCTCTTCCGTTAGTGGGCTCAGTTTAAAGTATTGGCTATCACATACAAGAACCCTTTACGGACTTGGACCCTCTTGTCTGTGGGAGCGTCTCTCCCCCTGTGCTCCACCACATCACCTTTGCTCATCCGAGCTGAGCCTTCTGCACGTGCCAGCCTGCAAATGGGCCAAATCAACTGCCCATGAACGCGCCTCCTCCACCATTGTGGCCCCCACCTCGTGGAACGGCCTGCCTGGCTTTCTACAATCTACGTAAAACTGAATTATTCAGGAGGGCTTCTCTATGCAGGCAAGAGAAGAGGAGGAGATTGGATTTATACCCTGCCCTTCACTACCCAAAGGAGTCTCAGAGCGGCTTACCATCTCCTCTCCTTTCCCCTCCCCACAACTGACACCCTGTGAGGTAGGTGGGGCTGAGAGAGCTCTTTCAAGGACTGCCCTTAAGAGCACAGCTCTGAGAGAACTTGTGACTGACCCAAGGTCACGCCAGCAGCTGCATGTGGAGGAGTGGGGAATCAAACCCAGTTCTCCCAGGTTAGAGTCTGTGCTCTTAACCACTACACCAAACTGGCTGAGGTTAGCACTGTACTAAAAAGCTTCACAAAGTTACCTGGATAAATTATTGGGGCCTGTGGGCTGTACTTGCTTTCATTCTTAATTTTAGATTCCTGACTGGCTCTTCAGTCCTATTGCCTTGCTTGTTGAATGACCTATCCTGTCGATTATATCAACTCCCTCTCTGTAATCCGCCTTGAGTCCCAAGGAGAAAGGTGGACTAGAAATAACGTAAATAAATAAATACGATTATGAATGGGGTGAAGAAAGCAGGCGGAGATCTTCTGCATCCACCTCCCGAAACACGGGGCGATTGATAATAAAAGTTCAAGACAGACTAAATGCAGGCGTGGCCAAACTCGCTTAACGTAAGAGCCACACAGAATAAACATCAGATGTTTGAGAGACACAAGACATGAACAGATATTACATGTTTTTGATGGGAAATATGCAAATTTGCTTTGTATTAACATTAAACGAGACTGCCAAAAATAATAACAAAAGTGGTAAAAGCAGATATTGATAATCCTATTTATTTACCCAATTATATTTGTAGGTGGGGGGGATTTTGAGAATGCATTTATGGTTAAAGTTGCTTTCTTTCTCTGCTCCCTCCCACTTCAAGCCTACTAGGGAGGAGAACACTGGCTGGGGAAGGGAAGACCGGTCGGAGAGGCATCCTTTGGCTCCCCAGCCACACTGCCGGGAGCCACACAATATGTATGAAAGAGCCGCATGTGGCTCCCGAGCCGCAGTTTGGCCACCCCTGGACTAAAGGAAGTCTTTCTTCAAAGAGAAATTAACTTGTACAAGGATAGTGACAAATTCGGTTGGGTTTTAAAGGGGACTTGACAGATTCCTGGAGGAGACAGCCATTCGTGGCTTTTTAGCCACCATCACTAAACAGAACTGTTCTGTGGCAGCAGATCTCCGGATGCTGGTGCCAGAGGAGGGGGGAAGGCATCTTTGGCCTCTGGGTCCCCCATGCAGAAGCTGGGTGTGCAAAATAGGATACTAAATTATAGAGCCATTTATCTAATCCAGCACACCTACTTTTATAACAGAGGAAATCTGAAAGAACACATGAAACTGCCTTACGCTGAACCAGGTCCTTGGTTTATCAGAGTCACCACACCTCAAAAAAAGATATTATAGGATTGGAAAAGGTGCATAAAAGGGCAACTAAAATGATTAAGGGTGTGGGCACACCTTTCTTATGAAGAAAGATTAAAGACGTTAGGACTCCTTAGCTTGGAGAAACGACAATTGGGGGTGACATGATAGAGGTTTACAAAATTATGCATGGGATAGAGAAGGTAGAGAAAGAAGAACTTTTCTCCCTTTCTCACAATACAAGAACTCACGGGCACTCAGTGAAATTAATGAGCAGTGGTCTTAGAACAGATAAAAGGAAGTCCTTCTTCACCCAAAGAGTAATGAACATGTGGAATTCCCTGCCACAGGAAGTGGTGGCAGCTACAAGCATAGACAGCTTCAAGAGGGGACTGGATAAATATATGGAGCAGAAGTCCATCAGTAGCTATTAGCCACAAGGTATAGATGAAACACGATGTCTAGGGCAACTGCTGCTCTGTACTCTTGGTACTTGGGGGGCAACAGTGGGAGGGCTTCTGGAGTTAAGGCCCAACTGGTGGACCTCCTGATGGCACCTGGGTTTTGGCCACTGTGTGACACAGAGTGTTGGACTGGATGGGCCATTGGCCTGACCCAACCTTGGCTTCTCTTATGTTCTTAAAGTCAGTATTGTCTACTCAGGCTGGCAGTGGCTCTCCAAGGTCTCGGGCAGAGGTCTTTCACGTCATCTACTGCCAGATCTTTTAACTAGCAATACTGGGGATTGAACCCAGGACCTTCTGCATGCCAAGCAGATGCTCTACCACTGAGCCAATGCCCCTCCCAGTTTAATCAGCTTCGAGGGGAGGTTCTGAGTGCCCTTAGGATTAATACAATTCATGCAGATATGTGCAGGACATGTGCCTGAGAATGCTGCAGCCGGGTTCGCCTCCCACCCACAATGTCCATTCCCCTCCCCACCCTCACCTGGAAGTCAACGGCTCGCTTGCTGGCCAAATCAGCCTTGTTCCCTGCCAGGGCGATGACTATATTGGAGCTGGCTTGCCGCTGCAATTCCTTCACCCAGTTCTTGGCTCGCACAAAGGTGTCCTGTAGAAGCAGGAGGAGGAAAGTTGAGCGCGGAGAGAGTGATGGACAACAGCCAGCCATTTGGCTCCCATTCCCTGTCTCAGGCGGAGCCTATCTCCAGAGGCAGCAAGTCTCTGAATCCCAGTGGAAGGAGACAACATCAGGGGAAGGCCTTGGCCTCTGTGCCCCGTTTGCTGGCCCTCCATGGAACAGGTTAGCTGCTGCACGAAGGATGCTGGAATAAATGGACCACTGGTCTGATCCAGCAGGGCTAGTCTTATGTTTTTATTTGTCTATTTGAGTGCTATTCCCCCTCCCCCCAAGTTACAGCACTAGTAGCTACACAAGTTCCAAGGCAGCCTCTCCATTGGCACAGATCTTAACTTCTGGCAACGTTAGTTCATGGTTGAAGAGGAGCCGCGTAGATCTGACGTGACCGCTGAAAGCTGTGGCAATCGTCGTAAACCAAACCGGCTTGCAAAAACGCAAGCCTGTTTTACAACAATTGCACAGGCAGTGCTTTAAGGAAGCACGATATAAAGTTCATGCTCAGACATTTAACAGGGCCAGTAAAACACAACTCACCAGGACCTACGTTCGCAGTCTGGCTTGCAAGCTTTAGAGCCACAAAGCTCGGCCAGATACTGGTCGATTCTCATAAAAGGTATTTATTTTATTGTCCCAATGAATTCTGCTCTGAGTCATACAGCCAATTGTTTTAATACAGCCTTGAAACAGTACTTCGTATGGCAGTGGTCTCCAAAATTCAGTTTTAATGCCAAGATTCCCAAAATATATTTCAAGCCGTTTTTGACTCAGTTTCAGATGGGCCCAGAATTGGATTTTTAGCTCTTAAGTAATAAAAACCTGTGCCAGCTTTATTTCTGGGCCCAAACAGAACTACCAGAAGCAAGGCTTATTCCTCACTGCGGAACCCCAGATCTGAGCTCTATCTCTTCAGGCGGTAAGGGAAGGGGCTCAGATGATCAAACACTCCTCCGTTTTAAAAATGTGCCATGCACATAGAAAGCTAGGTAGAACCTCTCTCTCTCTCTACTTTGCTTGTTTTCTGTGTACGGGCAACATTTTGTATTAAGGGCATTTCATCATGTTACACACACACACACACACAAACTGCAGAAGCATTATCTGTCAGTGATGGGGGTTCCCAACCCACCATGTCCTTCCTTGCAAGGAAGATTTGATTCCCCTGTCCCCAGACCTGGGACCCCGGAACAAATCCCCTCTTACAGTTTAACTGAAACTGTGCTAGGACTCTCACACACATAAGAACCCTGCTGGATCAGGCCAATAATCCATCTAGTCCAGCATCCTCACACACAGGGGCCAACCAGTTCCTCTGGATGGCCAACAACAGGGCAGGGAGGCCGAGGCCTTCCCCTGAAAAGAACATCAGAAGAGCCCTGCTGGATCAGACCAATAGTCCATCTAGTCCAGCATCCTGTCTCACTCAGTGGCCAGCCAGTTCCTCTGGAGGGCCAGCAACAGGGCATAGAGGCCAAGGCCTTTCTCTGATGTTGACCCCTGGCTCTGGGATTCAGAGGCTTAGTGCCTCTTGAATGTGGAGGTTCCCCTCAGCCATCATGGCTAGTAGCCATTGGCAGATTCATCTGTCCTCCATGAATCTATCTAATCCCCTTTTGAAGCTGCAGTAGAACACACCAAGAAAAGCAACAGGCTTTATTGAAAAGATCTGAAAAGTGGTTGAGGCTTAAGCATAAGGCAAGAATAAGCAAGTGCAATAAAATAACATCTGTCTTCCTATATACACTTATGTACACGAAGGCAGGCAGGTTGCAACATCGTCAAATCAGCGTAAGTAATGAAGCAGCAGGTAGGAGATGCAGCTAGATGGCCCCTGGCCCTGATCGGAACAGTGGGTGATCCTGGAAAAACTTGTGCCAGGTGGTTGTAAGCTAACTTCACACGAACCTGGACCACTGACCCCCTGATCAATATATACCAATCAAGAATGTGATGCAAGAGAGGATTCTCAAGGAAGAGCAGGAGTCTCCCCTCTCCCATCTGAGTGTAGTTAAGTCAGATCGCTTTGATATTCAAAGGTGCGATCTCAAGCTTTTCATCTTGGCTTGGGAACAGCGGAAGAGTGGTTCAGGTTTGCTATGCAACTCTCCCCATGTCATTCTTTAACACTTGGATGGCACATCAGGACACAGGCTATTGGTTTAGATTTATGAGATGGCCAAAAACCGACGTTTAAACTGTCAGGATGATTGATACAGAGGTGACCATCTCTCTTGACAACATCCCAAACACAGACTCATCACTTGATGTTCTACTCCAAAACCATCAGTGATATAATGATGGCCACAGGAATAAACAGTTTTAAAAGAGGATTAAATAGATTCATGGAGAATATCAATGGCTACTAGCCATGGTAACTGAGGGGAATCTCTACATTCAGGGAAAGTCAACCTGGGAATCGCAGAGTCATGAGGCAACATTAGGCAAAGGCCTCAGTCTCTGTGCCCTGATATTGGCTGTCCAGAGGAACTGGTTGGCCCCTGTGTGAGACAGGATGCTGGACTAGATGGACCCCTGGTCTGATCCAGCAGGGCTCTTCTGATGGGAAAGCCTCGGCCTCTATGCCTTGTTGTTGGCTGTCCAGAGGAAACAGCTGGCCACTGTGTGAGACAGGATGCTGGGCTAGATGGACCACTGGTCTGATCCTTGTGTTCTTATCAGGGGAAGGCCTCAGCCTCTGTACCCTGTTGTTGGCTGCCCAGAGGAACTGATTGGCCACTGTGTGAGACAGGAGGCTGGACTAGATCAACTATTGGTCAGATCCAGCAGGGCTCTTCTTATAGTCTTATGACTTCCCAGCCCATAACAAAAAGCAAAGCTGAGTCAGTCCCCCTTTTACTGGCAGTCCCACCCTCTAAGCCTGGGACATTGCACATTCAGCCTGGATTTCAATCCTAACCCCCCCCCCCCCCCCCCCAGAACCCCCCAAAGCCACACCCTCACCATATTTGTGATGTCGTAGACAACGATGGCCGCTTGTGCCCCTCGGTAATACATGGGCGCCAGACTGTGGTAGCGCTCTTGCCCGGCCGTATCCCAGATCTCAAACTTGACTGTTGTGTCATCTAGGCAAATGGTCTGTGTGAGGAAAGCAGCTGGAAGGAGGAGGAGGAGGAAAATGTTAGCATGAGGCACCACAAACCCTTCAGATCTCAACACCCTGTCCTTCCACACACTCAGAGATACTAGGCCTTATTACTCACATCCAAGCCCCAACACCAAACACAGGAAGCTGCCTTATACTGTGCTAGACCCTTACCCTGTCAAGGTCCGTATTGCCTGCTCTGGCTGGCAGCAGCTGTCAAGGTCCGTATTGCCTGCTCTGGCTGGCAGCAGCTCTCCAGGGTCTCCCATCTTCCACATCCCCTGCTAATTAACCCTTTTAGCTGGAAATGCCGGGGATTGAACCTGAGCCCTTCTGCATACAAAGGAAATGCACGGAGCGGCACTGACTCACAGATTCTCCCTGAGAATGACATGGCTTGTTTCTGTTGGGTAGCATTCAACAGCCAGGATTAAACAGGTGCAGAGTAACTTCAGCTGGATACTTTTTTTCTGTAGGTCTGTTACTGGGTCCCCCCCTCCAGTGTGATCAGCGCTAAGCCACAAGGAAGAATTGTGCGCAATGACACGTCTGAGCCTTCTCTTTCACCAACAATGGAGCCTTCAGCCGAACGCAACAGTAGGATCTCACACACCAGCCCAGGCTTGCCCAAGTAGATCATCTCATCCCTTTTTTTGTAGTACTGCATGTTGGAACCACTTGACATTTTCTGCGTGTAGAAGGTCAGGGCTATGGAAGCCCACAACCTTGCCTCTGGCCCCCAATAGGGAGACCCCCACACGGCAAGGCAGAAACCACCT